TGGCATCATAGCTCACAGCAACCTCCAACTCTTGGCCTCAAGAAATCCTCTTGCTTCAGTTTTTCTATTTTTAGAGATGAGGGTCTCACTTTTTGCTCAGGCTGGTCTTGAATCTGTGAGCTTAAGCTATCTACCCGCCTCGGCCTCCCAGAGTGCTAGGATTACAGGCATGAGCCACTGTGCCCAGCCATATTTATCTATTTCTAACTCTTTTTCTCACTCTCTGTTTTTGAGACACAGTTTTGTTCTATCACCCAAGCTGGAGTGTGGTGGCCTTGTTATAGCTCACTGCAGCCTTGAAGTCCTTGCTCAAGCAATCCTCCTGCCTTAGGCTCCTGAGTAGCTGGGACTACAGGCATGCCACCACACCCAGCTAATTTTTCCATGTTTTGTAGAGATCAGGTCTGGTCTTGAACTCCTGATCTCACACAATCTTTCTGACTTGGCCTCCCAAAGCACTAGGCCCTATTTCTTTATCTCTCTACCATTTATGTCGATATAGCTATATCTGTCTCTGTATCTCTGTGTATTTCTCTATCATTCTTCTATAAGTATCTGTCATCTCTATATTTATCTATCTCTGCTTATCTAAATTACCTATCCTCTATTATCTCTATCTGTATCTATAATTAATGAATCTGCAAGGTTGGACAATTAAGTTCCCAAACTTATTCTAGAAAAAGGGCTATATACCTCATTGCTGAATATTACTATGGTCACCTTTGAAGTACTCGCCTTGGGAAGCTACATACCGATGCCAGTGCCTAGATTATCCTTCAGAGCACTGTTTCTAGGACAAGTTCACAAACTTAGTTGTCAGACCTTGTGTCAATCTATCATGCTACTAGTGGCCCAGGATGCTGCTGAATATCCCAGAATGCACAGGACAGTCCCCACCCTACAGAATGTTCCAGCCCCAAATGTCAGCAAGGTAAGGCAGAGAAGCCCCCCACGCTATGCACCGTGCCCTCCTGAGTCTTACTTCCTCTTCCGCACAGAGGTGCTGATGGGAAGGATGTCTATCTCCTAAGGCTGCTGGAGGGAATAATGACATCGGGCTTACATGGCCCAGAATAAGAGTTTAGTAAGGGAAACTGTTGTATTTTATTCTTAACACTCAGCAATTTTTTTGTTCATTTGCTATTTATTTATTTAAAAGAATATTTTTTAGAGACAGGTTCTCTACTCTGTCCCCCAGGGCTGGACTACAATGGTACAGTCATAGCTCACTGTAACCTTGAACTCTGGGCTCAAGTGATCCTCTGGCCTTAGCCTTCCCAATAGCCAGGACTATAGGCATACACCATCATGCCCAGCTAATTTTTTTTTTTTTTTGAGACAGAGTCTCAAGCTGTCTCCCTGGGTAGAGTGCTGTGGCATCACAGCTCACAGCAACCTCCAACTCCTGGGCTTAAGCCAATCTCCTGCCTCTGCCTCCCAAGTAGCTGGGACCACAGACGCCCGCCACAATGCCTGGCTATTTTTTGGTTGCAGCCATCATTGTTGTTTGGCGGGCCCAGGCTGGATTCAAACCCGCCACCTTAGGTGTATGTGGCAGGCGCCAAGCCATGCCCAGCTACTTTTAAAACTTTTTTTTTTTTTGGAGACAGAGTGTCACTGTCACTCTGAGTAGAATGCTGTGGTGTCATAGCTCACAACAACCTCAAACTCTTGGGCTCAAGAGATCCTCTTGCCTCCACCTCCCAAGTAGCTGGGACTATAAGTGCCTGCCACAGTGGCCGGCTATCAGTTTTAAAACTATCTGTAGAGACAGGGTCTAACTATGTTGCCTAGGCTGGTCAGAAACTGGGCTCAAGTGACCCTCCTGCCTCAACCTCCCAAAGTACTGGAATTATAGGCATGAGCCACCTTACCCAACCCCATTGCTTCTAGAAAGTATCTGCACTCCTTACCATGGTCTGCCAGATCTGGCCACCTCCCCACACACACCTGAAGTGCCTACCCCTAATTTTCCCTGGCTGGCTCCTTCCCTATCATCCAATCCCAGCTGAAATGGTACCTTACAGGGTCTTGCTCTTCCTGAAGCTGGTTTCGAACTTCTACACTCAAGCAATCCACCAACCTTGGCCTCCCAGAGTGCTAAGATTACAGGTATGAACCACCGTGCCTGGCCTTTATTGCTCTTATAAAAGGATTCCTAGAGAATCCTTTGCTCCTTCCATCACTTGAGGACACGGCCAGAAGGCACCATCTAGGAACCATGAAGCTGCCCTCACCAGACCTCAAACTGCCAGTGTCTTGATCTTGCACTTCCAGCCTCCAGAATTGTGAGAAGTAAATGTTTGGTAGTCAAGTCACCCAATTGACAGTATGTGGTATTTTTATTATAGCATCCCAAATAGGCTAAAATAGGTGGCTCTGTCCCCCGGGGGCAACACTGTGCCTCCTACAGAGAGGGCACTCCACCAATAGGCCTTGAGCAAGTGTGCCCGTGCTTTGCGGATGAGTCCAGCCCTGTGTGTTGCAAACAGGAAGCAGCCTCCCTTTCCTGCTGTGAAGTGAACTCCACTGGATCACTCTGCTTCTCTAATGAAATTCCACAAATCCTGTAGTTTTTCCAGTCTAATGCTCCCAGATATTAGGAAGTCCACGCTAGTTCCAGTATTGAAACTTCAATTACTCATTCTGTTTTTTGTATTTTTTTCTCTTTTGAGACAGTTCTGCTCTGTTGCCCAGGCTAGAGTGCCATGGCTTCAGCCTAGCTCCCAGCAATCTCTAACTTCTGGGTCCAAGAGATATTCCTGCCTCAGCCTTCCAAGTAGCTGGGACTACAGACACCCTCCACAATGCCCCAATTTTTCTGTTTTTAGCAGAGATAGGGTCTCTCTCTTGTTCAGGCTGGTCTCAAACTCTTGAGTTAAAGCGATCTGCTGGCCTCTACCTCCCAGAGTGCTCATCCTGTTTAATGGCACTCCCTGGGCCATTGCACCTGCAATTTGGGAGTCCAGCGCAGAAGCTTTTCTTAAACCCAAGAGTTCAAGACCAACATAAGCAATACAGTGAGACCCTGTTTCTATAAAAGATACAAAAATTAGGTGGGTGTGGTGGCATATGTCTATAATCCCAGCTACTCAGGAGGCTGAGGCAGAAGCATCATTTGAATCCAGGAGTTACAGGGAGCTATGATTGTGCTACTGAACTTTAGCCTGGACAATAAAGCAAAACCCTGTCTCAAAAAATGTATATATACATATATGTGTATACTCCCTGGTGGGTCAGGGTGGGGTGAGGTGGGGACAGTGGTTTTTGCATTATGTTCCTTGAATTATCTCATCTTTCCCTCCCTATGCTGACTATCTCAGACTCCTCTGAGGCTGGGGAGTGGATCCTTCATGTTTTTGTAGCTGTGAGTACAGAGGAAAAGATCAAAAAGGTCTTTGGTGGCTATGGCAACAATAGGGTCTTGGTCCATGCTGGGCACTGTCCAAGTGCTGATCCTTAGGGTGACATGCTGGTACCTGCAGGTGGCTACATCACTCCCCCTCTTGGCTCCTGCATCCTCCAAATGCAGAAGGCACAAGATGTGTTCCAAAGTCCATTCCTCCCCCTGCAGGCACGGTCTCTCAGAGGCAGAGCTGAAGGATGTCTTGTCCTTGGATGATGAGGTCCTACAGGCTGTGTATCAGGACTGGACCCCACCCAGTAAGGAGCTGCTGAGATTCCCACCCCTGCTGTGGGTGCGGCTTCGTCGGGATCTGGGCTACTGCTTGGCCCGGCGGCCTGTGGAAGGCTTCACACTCTTGGCCATTGCCCACAGGTGGGTCCCAGTGGTAGTGGTGGTGGTGACACTGTCTTGGTGGGACCCCAAGAATGAGAACTCACTGACCAAGCATCTCTCCATGCCAGATCACTCCTCAGTCCCATTCCAAAGACTCAAGTCCAGTTTGTTTGGAATCCTAGGGTATCCACACCAGAGCTTCTAACACAATGAACTTGGTTTTTAAATTAAAGTGAAATTCACATAACATACAATTCACCATTCTGACCAATTCATTGTCACTCGTCATACTCAATGGTGTGCAATTGCCACCTCTATCTAGTTCTAAGACATTTTCATCATAGCCAAAGGAGACCCCATCCCCATTAGCAGCCACTCCCCACCCCCCGCCCCCAGTCCCAGGCAGCCACCATTCTGCTTCCTGTCTCTGTGGATTTGCCTGTTCTGGACATTTCACATCCGTGGAATTCTACACTATGTGGCTTTTGGTGTCTGGCCTCTCTCACTCTGCATCACGTTTTCAAGGTTCATCCCCGTTGTAGCCGGTGTCAGTGCTTTGCTCCTTATTCTGGCTGCATAGCCTTCCACTGTGTGGGTGGACCACGTTTTGTTTATTCATTCATCCTTTGATGGACATTGGGTTGCTTCCACCTTTTGGCTATTGTGAATAGTATTGCCGTGAATATTTGTGTACACATTTTGGTTTGAACATCTGTTTTTAAAAATTCTTTGGGATATTTACCCAGAAGTGGAATTGCTGGGTCATCTGATAATTTATTCAATGTTTAACTTCTTATGGATATACCCAAAGATTCCTTTTTTAAGTAAAATTTTATAAGGAAAAGGAAAAGATGTTCCAATTTAGAGGTAAATATCAAGTAGTAAATGGTACAGGTGTTTGACAGACACAATTAGCAACCCAAAGGTGTGTTAGGATAGACTGGCATTTGGGAACTGCCTCAGGGAAGACCAGTGGCACCTCTGAGCTTGATGGGTCCCACAGGTCCCTCAGCCTGTGTCCCTTCTCTGCAGACAGCTGGCTGAGGTGGTCCGAGAGCGCTACCTGTCGGGGCCTGAGCGAGCCAAGAGGCACAGCATCTTGGCTGACTTTTTCTCAGGTGCCTGGAGCCAAGGCACCAAGAAACTCATCACCCTGCCACGCGTGGGGAAGCCCCTGAACTTAGACCGCAAGGTGAGGTGCCCTGCTTTCTACCTGCAGCCTCCACCCTGCTGAGCTGGCAAGGCCACGGCTACCTGGTGGGGCTTTCCCCTTTCCTGCCTTCTTTGTCACTCAAAATACC